AAAGATAATAATGTTTTTTTTTACTTATTTTTTGTTAGTAGTATTATTTTTTTCTTGTTTTATATTGAATTGACTAAACTGATTTCATATAGTGCTGGGTGCTGAAGTGTTGTTCTTACTAAGCGTTTAGGTCATTTATCATCAGTACCAATTTTGTCTGTCTTTTTTTTTTGGTATGATTTATCAAAAAAAAAGAAGAATTTAGTTTTTTTTTGATTGTTCAGTATGCCACTTTGAACAGAATTTGAACAATCTGAACATTAATTAACAATTAAATTTTGTATAGTGTGTTCAAATTCAACGACTGCTGTAGATAAATTGACAGATGCAGTTTGATAAGATAAAATATTTGGATGTTCAAATTAGATAATTTGATGTCAAACAGAAAAAAAAAATGCAGAAAAAAAGGGTAAATGTAAAAAAAAAACATCGTTTTAATTTATTTTTCAAAACATTTTTAAAAAATTTGAATAACTTATAGATTCAGTTGTATAAGCAGTCTATTGAAAACTTGAAGCATCTTTTGGTTGGTGTATTCAACTGATCACTACTAAAGCAATAAGGTATTCTTTTGCTTTTTTTCTTCCTTTCTTTCAATTTCTTTTTTTGTCGACTTGCTATTTTTTTTTGTTTTTTTCGAAAGAGGAAAAAGAAGAAGAAGAAGAAGACGAAGAAGATGTCAACTGTTAAAGAATTGACAGAAAAAAAAAACTTACAACAACTAATAGTAAAACGAAAATACTCTAACGAAAGAATAGGAAAAAAAAACAGGAAACTAGAATTATTATTGTCGTAAAAAGAAAAGAAATAAATTTGCAGTTAACTTATTACAACTATCATAAAATAAAATATTAAATTGTTGCAGCAGCAGCAGCAGCAGAAAAAAGAAGCAATTTTACTCTCGATTTATTTATTTCAACAACAAAAGCAAAAAAAAAAAATATAGGAGAACGAGAAAAGTGTTTTTTTTTTTCTTGCATTAATATTTTTGTCATTTATTAATTCAAATAAAATTAATTGCAGAAAAGAATTGTCTGTAAAACTGTAAGACTGTATTAAATGTATATAAATTTTGTAAGAAAAAAAATAAAAGTAAAGAACTTTTTTAGTATTAGTAATAGATCAAGAAGGGGAAGAAAGAAAGAAGAAAAAAAAGAAAAAAACTGATCAACAGTTACCACCACCAACCTGTATCAACAGCATCTGTTACTGAACCTGAACTGTACCAATATAGCAGTAATACAGTTGCAGCATATAACCTTAAAGAAATGATTGAAAGCAAAAAAAAAAATTTTTTTTGAACTTATAATAACAGTTGAAAATAAAATTTTTTTTTTACTTTTTACCTTATTAATAAAAATTCAGTTTATACTGAAAAAGAAAAAAAAAGAAGCATTTTATACAACTTCATTAACTTTTCTACAATACTTCCACTTCTGTCTTTCCTCTTCTGTTCTGTGCTTGACAATTCGTTTTTTTTTTTTCAAGTTATTAAAATTATTTCTTTTTCCTTATAAATGTATCAAAAACCTTAACAAAAATTTTCTTCAACTCAATACAACTAATTGCTGTTTTCTTGTCATCACATTCAATAACAATAATAATAATAATAATGATGATGACTATTACTGCTAACATTGAACAATTACAAAAAGTGAAAAGCTGTTCAAAAATTTTGTGTATACAGGTGATCGAGCAGAAACAATAAGCATATTTGTTGTTGATTTATGAGATGATAATTAGGGTCATAATTTTAAATTTAAACGTGGCATGTCCCTATTCTATTTTTTT